TATAAGGCTTCAAACTTCAAGACAATGCCCTCACAATCTTTAAGATGAATCCCCAAATCCCAAGTGAGCAGTCACGTAACCTTGAGACACAGAAGTCTTGGCGGTTGGTCTGACTGCTGATCCTCTTAAGAAGTCAGTGTCTTAAGACTTTGTTGTTCTTGACCTTGGCAGGCTGTTAAAAGACATAACACCATCTGTGTCCTCTCATCCGCGGTGGTTCAGTTATACGACAGACACAGCAATAGACAAGAAACGACTCCCAGATTTCAGGTAGAACAGTGCAGTCAGGGCTCGAAATACTGGGTGCATATGAATCTGTAAGTGCAGGTAAAACTGGAGCTGTGCAGGTATTTCTGATGCCTACCTGCACCTAACCTGCACTGGTCCATGTACTGGGTATATGCAGGTTAGTGCAGGTAAAATTGGGGCTGTGCAGGTATTTCTGATGTCTACCTGCACCTAACCTGTACTGATCCATGTACTGGGTATATGCAGGTTAGTGCAGGTAAAATTGGAGCTGTGCAGGTATTTCTGATGTCTACCTGCACCTAACCTGCACAGGCCCATGTACTGCGTATATCACTATATGCACTTTAGTGCACGTAAATCTGTGCAGGTATTTCTGATGTCTACCTGCACCTTACCTGTACTGATCCATGTACACTGGTTTATATAAAATGTAGATGTCTGTGATTTTAATTTGCTGCATTGACTGTAACACCACCTCACTCACACACTCACTCACTATTGAGTATAAAACAAATAATAGCAAATGTTTTTTAACAGTTTTTAGTAAAGATATACTTCTCAAATTTTCAGTTCTGCTGCAAGGTAAAATTTGTCTGGAGCAGGCATGGTGAAAAAAAAATATTTGGAGCCCTGTTGGTGTATTACGGAACGTCCAACATGCCCTAAAACAGAGAGCTAGCTGACAGGGGTAAGACTGCTACTGCAGAGGGACAACAAACTCTGCTGTTAGCCGCTGACCTGAACAAATAAATCTCTCCTCTAGGGCCTGAAGTGAGCTCCCCTGCTAACTGTTAGAGTCTCGGAACCAAAATACACATCTGTCTGTATCTGTATCTGTATAGCCGGTATAACTGCTTTTCGGCGTAACACACCAGCTTCGCAGGCACGCGGCGCGGCGGCAGCTGGCTATATTACACCGATGAACTTGCTACACCTAACCCTTGAACTTCTAACTCTAGACATTGTTTAAAGCTATCTAATGACAATGCCCCTACTGTACTTGGTGACAGTGAGTTCCACTCTGCGATAGTTCTAGGAAAGAATGAATTCTTGAACACCCCAATCCTAGGTTGATAACTCTGGTACTTGAAGGCATGGCTATTTCTTGTTCTCTTCTGGGCCGGTATTAGGTACTTAATAGTTTGGACGTCCACCAGTTTATTAGTCATTTTGTACATCATGCATAGTCTGGACATTTTTCTTCTGTCTACACATGGACTGGCAAGTGGGAAAGATGGGATCTCTTGTCAACGCCATAAAATTAACACATTTGATAATCTCCAAGCAGATTGTTCTATGGCTGTAAAGACAGTATCAACTTGGCCAGGCAGCATCCATTTGCCCAACAGTTACATGTACCATTTGCCCTCTGTTAGACAGTGACAAAAAAGATACCAGGACAAAAAGATTAATGTGCCTAAAACCTAAGATATGAAAATAAAATATAAAAAATAATAATAAAATTTTTTCAAAATTAAAAAAAAATTTTTTAAAGCTGAAGACTAAACCTCATCTTGGAGAGTAACATATTAATACTGATACTAAAAGGCAGTAAAAGAAGATGTCGCTACAGAAATTCTTAAAAAATTTGAATTACTCGAAAACATTACCAGCTGCGCTTACCTTGTACAAAGCAGGAATGAGATCCTGTAACCGTAGACGACTGCATACGAACACGTCGTACACTGCGTTGACAGCTAGCACCGTGATGCCCTGCTCCTTGGTCAGCATGCTTGCTGTCGTGCACAGCACGCTGAACAGCAGCCACAGCCATTTTACCACGTCAACCTCTTCTTTCGACAGCGTCTTGTCTCTCCGCCGACAGTATCTCGTGTAGGAGAGGAATGAAAGAAGGAAAAAGAGGCATGCTCCGACGTCCGCCCTTCCTACAACCCCTGCCACTGCTTCTGTATGGATAGGATGAGAGGCAAACAGCAATCCTGCGAGCAGTTTTACGCTAGTTCTTTGCAAGAACAACCCGGCGGTGTACGTAAACAGTGCAGTCACCACCGCGTGTAGCACGGTGTTGGTGAAGTGGTAACCCCATGGGTTCAGTCCGCCGAAGAAGTGGTTGATACGGAAGGAGATGACACACAGGGGGCGGTAGGACTTGTGGCTGCCGCTGTGGGTGAGGGGGGTCCCCCAGAAGTCGTCGAAGAAGAGGTCCGTCAGGGGGGTGTCTTGCTGGAGATCTTGGTTCTTCAGTATTGCACGGCTGCAGAGAAACAGAGAAAAAGAGGCGTTAGTATAGAAAAGACTTTACAGCTAAAACACTGTTAGAATTTACTGCACACCTGAATGTTGTGCTTTAGAATGCTGACTGAGCTATGTTTACAGTGGCCTGGAACTTACTCAGTTTTATAGTTTATGAGCCCTGTTTGTTATATTTCCCAGCAAAAATGACATATCAACTTCCTACACGAAAATTCAGTTGTATGTCAATATTTCAAAACTGACCTTTGTAACAGGAATACAAAGAGTTTACATATAATCTACCTCATTTGCTTGAGCCAGCTATGTTAAATGAGGTGCAAGTTGCAAATGGAAATAATTACATTATCAAATGTCTACCCTAAGTAAAGGAGAGCACAATGAGTTAAGGCACAATACGTCAGTGTTCTCGCCAGGCCTTTTGAGCATAGGGACCCCCTATGCTGTGATATGGACCCCCTATGCTGTGATTTGGACCCCTATGCTAATTATTCTTTCAACCAGCATAGGGGTGTTTTTTGGGGGAGAACATTAATAAATAGTGCCAAAAAATTAAAATATAACTTTAGAATTATCTGTATCTGTATAGCCGGTATAACCGCCTTTTGGCATAACACACCAGCTTCGCAGGCACGCGGCGCGGCGGCAGCTGGCTATATTACACGGATCGGCTTGTTACACCTAACCCTTGAACTTCTAGCTCTAGACTTTGTTTAAAGCTATCTATTCACATTAAGCTATATTAAAAGGAAAACCTTAACTTCACAAAATCTGTCCATCAAAAAGTGAGAAATAGTGTCTCAGAGAGTTATGGGCTTCAATTTTTTTTTGTCTCAATGCGCGACTTGCGCCACAAAAGTTGCCTTCTAGTACTACCTGACCCCTATGCTGTGAAAAAATCCTGGTGAGAACACGTACGTACATTGACCACATAATATTGAAATCCGGATAACATTCTAATATTTCTATGAAAGGAAAGCAATGCTTTTGCAGATAAGCTCAATTCTATTCAAGGTCACCCTATAGGAGTGTAAAGCTTTGATAATACACTGTACCATAATCTTATCTGTCTCATCTATAATAGTATTACAAGAGAAGAGCGATGACTTCCAAAGAATGTTACACATAATTATACCACAGGTAATTATTTACTGGAGTATAACATCAGTGTCCATAATATCACCAGGGTCCATAATATCGCCACCTTGAGAAACAGTGTGCTTAAAGATATTTTTACTGCAACATACCCTAGGTATGTACATTTGATGTGTGAAGGAGTGCATACCAAAAGTATGTTGCAGTAAAAATATCTTTAAGCACACTGTTTCTCAAGGTGGTGATATTATGGACACAGATGTTATACCTTCTCACTGCTGAAATAGCCTTTTGGAACCAAATTTGCAATGATAACAGAGTTATGCAGCAGCGAAATGGTTAATTACCCTTAATGAGGTAACATGAGACAAACAAGAAGCTCCATTTAGTGATAACAATTCTCTGCGGGATTGGTAAGAATACACAGTTGTTTCAAGCATATTGCAAAGACAAAATATAGTATATTATTTTCACCACAGTTGCCCATGTTATAATGTGAGGTAAGTTTTATATGATAACGACTGTTTAGTTTTTCAATTTAAGTTTAACTAAAAATGACGTTAAATTCAGTTTAAAAAAAAAAACCTGGCCCCAAAAAATTTGTTCAAAATCAGAAAAATAATAGATGAATGTGGCTATAGCTGTATCTATAATTTGCCCCCCTCCCCAACCCAGAGATAAACAATTTTTAAACTGTCAATCATATACATTGTAGATATCACAGTGACTACGATCTAGCACACTATCAGCATCTAACTCAACCTGTTTGGGAAAATATCCCCCAGCAGTCACCTAACTTCCATTGTCTGGGTCCAGTCACCTGTATATATAATTCACCAGTCACTAGAACTGTAACGTGTACTTGATATTTGAGCTAAATCTTGCCTTTCCTTCAGAATATGTTTTTTATGGGGTAACTGCCGGTAGATATCATATATTCCCATATACTTTTCAACACGTGTTACACTTAATTTTTTTTACAAAAACGGTAAGTCTAAACAATAAGCCAACAGCGTTTTCGGTGTCCTTATAACCTTCTTTCATGTTCACGACGGTGGAAAATATTTCGACGACCTTCTGACTTCTGCACAGTGACACGGCTCCACCTAATGCCTGGTAATTTTCTAAATTAGCATGTAATGCCTGGCAGGTAAATACACACAATGAGGCATGGCTACACTGGCTCTGAGCTTCTGAACTATGGCTCAAATCACACAGAATGGCATTGCTAGCTTGTCAGGGCTCGAAATGCTGGGTGCATGTGCACCCTAGTGCACCCAGAATTGGAGCTGTGCACCCAATTTATTTCTGTGGGTGCACTGGTGCGCCCAAATATATTTGTACATATTTTTTTTACATACTAAATGTATAACTGTGTTACAGTATACAGGATATTCTTGGAATCTGTCAGAAAAATAATAAAATCTTTGTTGTAGTAGTTCTGTAACTTTAAGATTTTGAAGTTAGCTCCCATTTCATATTCAAGCCTAGAAGAGGAGCAGTAAGATCTGTAATTAGGTTTTGTTGTGTATGGTGCACCCCAAAAAAATTTTTTGCACCTAATTTTTTAGGTTGGGTGCACCAGTGCACCTATTCCCAAAAATGAATTTCGAGCCCTGCTTGTAAAATTGAGAGACAGACAGTAGAGCTACTAGAGCATTATAAAAATCCCATTGCAAGGGGATGCAACCTCTTTGATATAGGTGTTATCCTTGTCATACCTGTATGTTCTTAGACGAAGTACATTTATGTCATACCTGGGACCTTATAACATTCGATATGGGTGTTCTGGCCCATGCGATAACTAGCCGTATCACATAGGTTGTTCCATAGAATATTCTGAACGCATTTTGCAAAAGCTGACTACACCAATTTAGAAAATTCCAATGTTTCGGATGTTGGAACTGACATTGGTACAGTTCTCTTTTAAGGACACCAAATTTTCCACACGAAACTTGAGACACATTTTGCATTGCCTAACATTTTCTTGGGTGGTACAATAAAGGTCTTCATTCATTCATTAAAAAAACATCCTAGTACAAAAGGAGAAAGCGATTGGTTTATCTCCACTTTGCTATCCTTTGTTTTAGCAACGCTGCAATGATTTCATCATCAAGCTAAGCCTGGAACGAAATTAATGGGCAAATTTAGGATAGCTGGAATCCTAGGATTACATCGCTGAAAGAGCCAAGCCCACGCCGTGCCGTGTTTATTGAAAAGCTATCCGTGGCAAGCCCTCCCAAGTTTGTCTTTTATCTGGTAGCCGTGATACCGAACCGAGTGGTGTGAATACCGCCGGCATAGTTGGTCTGGCGAAGATTAAGTTATCGCCAAAGACAGATTTTGCTGCTCGCTCCAAGGTTTATGTCAATTCCGCTCAGGGCTTCAAATTCATTTTTGGGAATAGGTGCACCCCACCTAAAAAATTAGGTGCAGAAAAAAATTTTTGGTGCACCATATAAAACAAAATGTAATCACAGATCTTACTGCTCCTCTTCTGAGCTTGAGTCTGAAATGGGAGCTAACTTCAAAACAAGTACTTCAACAAAGATTTTATTATTTCTGTGATACTTAGATGCCAAGAATATCCTGCACTATCATATACATTTGATATGTACAAAAATATCTGCAAAAAGATTGCGTGCACAGCTCCAATTTTGGGTGCACTAAGGTGCACATGTACCCAGTATTTCGAGCCCTGACATGTAACTACAATTTCTACTTTATTATTATCAATTAGGGATATGCTTGTCTGTTTTGCTCAACTGTAAATACAGTACCCAACAGTAAGGTTTACTGTTTTTCCTATTAAATTAAAAATCAATTAGGAGGTAATATTATAACATATTAGTCGAAAATGTTCAGGGTATTTTAAAGTGTTGCAGTGGTATTTGGCAGTTAAAAAACACAAGCATGTAATATGTAATAAAAAATATGGATGGAATAATTCCCGAAACTTGAATCCTTTAACTCTGAGATCGTTTTAAGCCCTGCACGTTGAGTACAAATTCACAGCAGACATTAAAAGAAGTGCCTGTAAAACACTAAGGCCACACCGATTTAATTCGTTGGTTCTCGGATTTTTTCAGAAAAAATATGAAGCGACAGGACGAAAAAAAATAAAAATAAAAACAGGTCTAGGCATCCTATTATAGCCCCAAATGCTACAATATGAGCCATGAAGTCAACAAAAAAGGCTGGGTTAAAATCTAAAGTGTAAATTTTGAACTTTTCATCAAACCACTGCATTGATAGATGGAAAAAACTGTAACAACTAGGAAGAAAAGGAATTTCCTCAACTGTTGGGGGCAAAATATGAGCATTTTTTAGTTGATTCAGAACCAGAATCTTTTTTTGCAAATCAGAAAAAAATGAAGAGGCGAATCCGAGAACCAACAAATTAAATTGGTGTGGCCTTAGTACATGTATGTATGAAGTCTGCTGAAAACAAGCTGGCATACTTGTATCACAGACTTAACTGTAACAGTTGTTATCAGAGAGTTGTCACGTGAGTTCACGGAAGGCTATTCAGTACTGTACAGGTGTTTTGGCAATGAATTCTATGGTCCATTTGTACAGTCTGGCACCCTGAGAACTGTTATGCTTGACACAATACATTCTTTCAACCCGAAATATGTGGACCTCACAATGGTGACATTTTAGTGCAAACATGCAACATATTTATCGAACAAAGCTTACGTCTGTTCTCATTGACTTGAACACTATATCTAGCAAAAGATATGAAAGCAACAACAAGGTACATGATATTTTGAGCCATACAATAGAACACTGAACAAAGATCGACATGTAACTGACTTTGCAACAGTTTTTTTATGTCAAAATTTTTGCTAGAGATGACAACAACAGTTTCTATCATGCTATCCTCTAAAACTTAATTGTTAAAACTGT